CACGATTTCGCCGGTGTATTACACCATACTGTGTTTTGTCGAGCTGGATTGGCTGGATTTACTGGGTGAAATCGGGGATGTGCTATACAGTCTGCAAGCGACAATTGATCCGATTTTGTTGATGGTGTCTTTGGGCTATCTACGGGAAGCGTTTTTTCAGCACTTATTCCGATTGAAGCGATTATGCCGTGGCGCTCGTGTCAGCCCATGAAAAAGCGTGTTTTCGTTCAATATAATAACTGGCAAAATATCGATGGTGTACTGAAATAATACGAAAAGACGTCTAAATACTCGAGATACAAATTCGAAGGTTTTGCGCAAGCATTCTGTTAGTTTATTTAGTTGATTGAGACTTAGGTGACGTGTTCTTGCGTCATTTACCTTCCTGTACAACAGGGTTTGTCCCCTGAGTTACACAGAATAGTCAAGAGATCATTGCACTTGCGTTTTGACAGTACAGATCCCCAGACATCTCAGTGAGTTTCCTGTTTAGATTTCCCAGGTGCTTAATTCAGCCGTTATAATATTTTTAGTCAACTCACAAGTCAGCGTCACTTTTTTCCACGTTCAGTGGTACAGTAACTTGGTTGGATTCGGCCAAACGATATCTAATACAGTTAAAACAATGCATGAAAGAATTACTTAACTGGATTCAACGACTTTTGAGGCATCCCTATAGCAGCCAAAAAAAAAGAGTGGAATAAAACGGTTTCTGCATAAAAACCCGGGTAGTTATCTGGTCCGAGAAAAAAAAAGAAAATGTGGGCAGGGGACTTGAAATTAACATTCATAGTGTATTTAACCTGCGATCCCATTTTACGATAGTGTCCTGGTATCCTGCAAGCCAGGATCCTGCAAACCTGGCATTTTGTAAGCCAGTTTCAAGTTATCGCCGTTTGTCGACGTTTGTTGTATTGCTATAAGTTTTCAGCAGATCTATTTCTCCTGTGATTGACAACCTTTTCGCTCGGTACGAATACTTAACTTGCTACGCGCCACATTCCTGTTCAGCAACGTACCTAATAACATAATTATTATGAATGAGCTACCTACAGTACACGTAATGAGCCACAGCAGGAATTTCCGTATGGAAGTAACACGTACTATCTGCCTTACAAGGGTAATACGTCTAGGCGGAAGAAATTGTCTCTCCTTATATCCGGGACGCGCTCGTTATAACCGAGATTACTTGTTAATGTTTACAGCGGAAGGCAGGTCAACAAGGTTCGACCATTAGTCACCCCATCCAAGTGTACTCCCGCGGGAGGGATGCATTGCATCTCCCAGTGGTACCGTCCACGATGGACACGTCAGGTTGTGTAATGCCAAGGGAAAGAGTTCATTACATGACATTGCGGATGATAGTGGGCAATAAAAAAAACAGCACAAAAACGTACACTACTGTCATCGTGATAATTATTGTTATTAGTATGAGGTATTCGTCAATGTTTTTCACAATAGATTCGCCCGGAAAAAAAATAAAAGCCGTCATTCCAGAATCCCTGAAGTAAAGGAACTACATAAATAATGCAGCTGATTAAGATTAAGTGTTTCTTGTGCAAAATCGAGCAGGGAATGCGTTCTAATGCGAAAACACTGAAGTATACGGTTTAGGCCGTTGGTAAGTTTGCGGACCGGACCGTCAGTCTGCTCGCTTGGCGGCGCGTCACCAAACCAATTCAACAGCTGCATACTAAGTTATCCGCTTAATTTATACCTAAAGGTCATGCCACAGTGAAACAGGCGTTTAAGAAACCCGTATATCATGCTAACCATGGCTAAGCATAGCCAAAAACTTTTACCGGTAAACTAGTGCGTATTAAGAAGAAGTTACAGAATATTCCAGGAAATAGATCGTGTTTCCCCCATTGTGATGAGCTTATACGGCAGTGTTGATTCAACGCCCGATTACCGGCGCCGTTAGGCAGCCGAGCCGGCCGCAATGGGATCACTTTTCTCATTTTCCAACATGACTTCTCAAACAGGCGGGTTAGACATTGTGTCAACACATTGCCGCAGCGCCGAGAGCTCTGCCGCGTTCAACGGGAATTTCAACGCTTTTCATCAATACACATCCCAGGAGCCTCCTGTCACTTTTCCATAACCGTCGCTCGCCTAACTCGTAATCTTTATATACTGAAAATTCTTTAAAAATGGATAATTCCACAATTCTGTTATTAATTAATTCGTCTTTAATTATTCTAAACGAGACGCAGACGAACCACTCCGTCGTTAGTGTAATAAACGTCCTGGAAGGTTCCCCATCCAAAATCTTATTGAACGCGACGCACAACACCTCCGCGGTGATCAGCATAACGGACTTAACAGAGAAATCCACCTCCCGCATGGTCCTGATCGTCTCCCGCTTCGGCGGCTGGACGCTTCTCAATGTGACCTCCCTGGACCTCCTGGACACCCTCCCGGCCACCTGGGACGCCATCCCCATCCTGGCCATTATTGTCATGATCCTCACCCTCTCCTTGAATATTCTCCTTCTTATTTTATTGACGCGCCGGCGTCTCCGCACCTCCTTTACGGTATACCTGGGGGTCCTCTGCATCACCAACATCATCTTCTCCATCCTCAACAACCCCTTCGACATCCTGGTGGAGGTGTACGGGAAGTGGCCGTACACCTCCGGGGTGTGTGATCTGTACTTATACGGTAGCTTCATCGTCTGCAGCATCACCATGCACTGCCACGCCCTCATCACCGGCAACCGTTTATGGGCCATAAGCTTCCCGCTACACTACAAGAACCACCACTCGCGGGCGGTGGCCGCGGGTGCCTGCATCGTCGTAGCGGTGTACGTGCACGCCTGCTTAATCCCGTTCCTGGTGCTGGATTCCCTGTACTACCGGTATCCCGTGGGGGAGATTGTCGTCGGATGTACACCCAATGTAGCCGCCCAGCAGAAATACAGTATCGTCGTGCAGACGCTTCTCTTCGACCTGCCGATTGCGTTTATCGTGGCGGCGTACCCGTTTTTATGGTATAAGCACAAGAAACTCCACCGCATTAGTGATCATCATTCCACGCCGAAGGACGAATCCGAGACGTCACGACGCGGCGGGGAAGTCGTGACGCATGTCACGGCTAAGAAGAACCGCCGGTCGTTTCTGGTGTTGACGCTGCTGACCGGGAGTATTTTTCTGTGTTGGACCACGGCGCAGGTCTATGATACCGTGGATTGTTTTTATGATGTACAGCGCAGTGAGGCCAGTGAGCAGCAGACGCTGATTTTGATTCGGGAGATCGGGGAGCTGATCTATTCGGCGCAGGCCGCGTTGGATCCGATACTGTTTATTGTGGCGTTGAAGGATTTGCGGGAGGCACTGGTGAAGATGCTCCGCGGGGAAAAACATTAAACCGGTGATTCTTGTATAGTTTTCTAAGATATTGGATTTAACATATATTAAAGCGATGCAAACCGCTGTATTTTTTCTGTATAACCAGATTCACCGCAGTTATGATTATAGTAAAATTTAATACTAATAAAGCTTTACATATCTAATTTGCGACTGATTTGTACAATTGTTTGTTCGTGAATCTGCATCTGTGCAGAAATCAAATTTTCCGTTATACGTACATCAATTTTATGTCTTTTTTGCGGTATTGATTATCGGCGCGTTTATTGAAATCCATACAGTTTCGATATTTTGTGAATCGGTTATATATTTACATGCAACCATTAAAACATTAATCCAACAAAACTGTATCTTAAAATACCTATAATTACTTACCTATACATTATCTTGAGTCATTTATGCTGCTTTTTAAAATTTTTTTAAACGAATTTTTTTGTCGACATCTGGTAGTGATTTATTGACAACTAGCGTATTTTTTTAGATTTTCTGACAATCGATTTTTGACATGTGCTTTGCAGGAAAACTTTAACTGGCGCGACGTATGCGCTGAGTATCTAAACCGCATAACCGCCTTTTTTTTGCCATAATTTTCAAAGAAATTTAAGAGATAATTTTATATCATTTTTCTTCCGTGCAGGCAGAATAATGAACCAGCTGACCGAAATTCTAAAAGAAACAAAACACACCCTGATTAAACGATAAAACCAGTTTTTTTTAGTCTTGACTTAAAAAGCCGTTTTTGCATCACATGCATTACAGTGACTCTCGCACACGCCTGCTTTATATGAACCACTCGGTTTCGCTATAACAGCAATAAAATGTGCCGGAAAGGGAAAATTGTCAGTAAATTTGCAGCGACCGTATCGTTGCCGGTAAAATCCATCCAGGCAGCGGCTGGGGAGTGCTGTTATCCCACACCAGAACCCATTCACCAACCGCCGCGGGGCCCACCAATCAATACCATTTATCCAATCCTAACAGGCTTACACACACCGACCGGTACAACGCCCACTGTACGCTTCGATAGCCCTTCATTTAACCACGGCCCTGACACTTCCCCGCCGCACACAACGGATCTAATTAGTTTTGTTAATTAATCGATTCTTGGTAGCCGCCGGCCGACTGCGTCTATTATCGATTCAACGCAAATGAACTATCCCGAGCCGGGCGCGTCTATTTAAAAAATCTCGCTCACTATAACGATCGCGGCGGTTGGGGAAATGATGGAATAATAAGGTATCATTAAGCCGGACTGACTTCCGCCGTGTGGCCCACCATCCAGCCGTATAATAAGCGGAAAACGCGTTCGTCCGCCGGGATTTATACCCCTTTAGAGAGAGGGAGCAAAGGTGAACCTTTTGATATGTTATGAGGGTAAACACCGCGTTATGACCGCGCGCACAGGATCAGTTTAATCAACCCGGCGTTTATTCCGCGGGTTAGCAATCAATCCCCAGACTAATCCCGTGTAACAACAACCCGTCAGATTATATAGACATATTCATATTTATTCCACATCTACACCAGTGCATCGATCTCCGTAGCGAAAAATTGCATCACGGAGAAAAAGTCATTTCCGCGACCGCTCACTGTGTTATATAGCGCATATGGACGCTCTTTTCCCGGCCGCGGTTTATTTCCTCCGGACAGCTAGTGTTGCCAGTGTAAAAGCGTAAATGCAGCACATGTTACCAACCATGCTCAGCCTGTCAAATTGACGGCGCTGTGCAATGCGCTGTATTGTAATCTTTTCTATACGCACCCGGCTTGTTCTCTTTTCAAACTTTGACAGAGAGGCATCACACGGAACACGACAGCGAGAGCAGGAGAGAGAGAAGAGAGCGAAGGGAGAAAGTTTCTTAACCGGAAACGTGGTATAACCGTATATACGCGCCCGGGTTTTGTGTGCGCGCGCAGGCGTTGGCGACACATTGTTTCGTTTAAGTGTATACAATGTTGTATATATATGCCTCCCAACACACACTCACTGTCACGATCATGTTCCCATCCGGACTCAGCCCGGGATAACAGTGATGGATGCGCCGTGTATTTGATCACCTTTTCATTGGCCTTTACACGCATCATGTACAACGTTTTTTTCTCTTGTGATATTTATTCAGCCGTGTGTTTGTGACAATCGCCCGCAGGGATGGACGTCACCATGGACACCGACAACACCTCCGCCCCCAACACCACCACCCCCACGGAAGACCGCGAGGGCGCCGTCCTCATGGGCGTCATCACGGCGGCCGCGTTATTCACCAACACCTTCACCTTAATCCTCTTCACCAAGGTCAAATTAAACAGCTTCGACATCTACCTCATCAATCTTCTCATCGTCAACCTCCTCTACTTGGTAATCGCGTGCCCGCTAGACATGGTACACCGGCTGCATCTCTTCAACTGGCCACTGTCCGACATCACGTGTTCGGTCTACTTATACACTTTATGGACGCTGCAGTATCTTCTCCCGTATGTGCATCTCTTAATCTCCTTTAGCCGGGTGTGGGCGGTGGCCTTCCCCGTGCACTACAGCCGGACAGCGACGATTTCGCGGTCGGTGGGGTTGTGTGCTGCGGTGTGGCTGCTGGCGCATGTGATCACCCTGCCGGGATTGTTGTTGGACGAATGGCTGTACCGGCGTCCGATTAATGTGTATGGGTGTCAGGTGAATCTGGATACGGTATGGTCGCAGAAGATCTGGCTGCAGTTTTTGCAGATTCAGGGGGCGATGTGTGAGGCGCTGCTGCTGCTGGTGTACCCGTATATACGGTTTAAGAAGCGCCAGCGGGATAAGTTGGCCAATGCCCGGCAGAATTCCCGGATGGGATCAGGTAAAAAAATCAGCGTGATTTATTGACGAAAGCGTGTATCTGTTTATTGATTTGTTAATATACTTAGCACAGACTTTCATCCCGAAAATCTGATTCTGAATATTATCTCGTCTCAGACATGAACAAAATAAGCAATCGTTTAATAACAATAATGTTTGCTTATACATTTTCAATTATAATTAACTTTTAGACTTGAATTCTCGTGTTATATGTATAGCTATTTATTCAACGCAAAAAAAATAAAAATAAAAATTTTTCAAGAATATATACGCGATAAAACTCGGGTTTCGCTTAATTTTCCGGCTTATTAATTTTATAAACTTCTGCTAATTTTTGCTAAATTATTAAGCCGAAGATAAGCTTGCTCGAACAGTGTATAATTATGTTGATTAGAATTTGCTTGTAATTTGATGTCATTTACTTAAAAATTTCAATTCGGTGTTATTTTATTCGCTGTATAAATAAAACAAAATGACGCAATCGTCAGCTTCACCGCGTCTAATGACAATGATCTAAATCATCTAAATCATATAATCATAGCGTAGACGCGCCGCGCTGACTGTCTGCTACACGAGACATTAGATTTTTAATCCGCCGCAATCAGCGTACACAGCCGCGTATTCCCCATCGCAATTAAGTGATTCTTGGGATATTTAATTCACGAACCCACTTACAATCGCGCTGTATTGATTTTCCAGTGCGTCAGTTATCAATTGCCGGCATATTACATACGCCGGCTTAGCCTTGACTTGGCCCCGGCTAATGAGCCTATAACGGGTTGGAGCAAAACAATTCTGTAATTTCCGTATGTGTGCGTGTGGCATTACTTTAGATCAGCGCTGACCCCGATGTCGCGGTCATGTGGATGCTTTGGCGCGTAATCCCGTCATCCGTTGTAAATGAACTCGACAGCTTAATTATGCGCCTATCAGGATTACACGGCAATTACAATTCGTCTTGTTTCAACGGTGGTCCACTGGAAACAAGAAACATGATATACCGGTTAACCGGGACATCGAAATCGATACGGGCGCAAAAATCTCCGGTGTTGCTGCCGAGAGACCCGTTCATCTAATTAGACATCTGTTTCTACGTATAATTTCATTTAAAAATAGATTTTTCTAATTATGTCTTGGAATAGAGTTGATACGCAGAATTATTTGTCAGAAAAAATTAATCACAAACCAATCGTGAATGTGTAGTTGACGAAAAGATACGAATCCTTGTGACAAAACTAGGGTTTTAAAGTTAGAGTGTAGTGGCGTAACGAGCCGTGGTAAATGATCCTTGCTTTCTTACAGAAGCGCAATAATTATTACATACGTAGACTAATGTATTTAAATTTATAACGACCGCCGGAAGCAAAGAAAATAGAAATATTGAATATTAAAAAATAGGAAAATATATTAGACCTTTTTAGAAAAAAAGATATAGTGGCGTAGCGAGCCATGGCAAATGGTTTTTTTTGCTTTCCTATACAAACGCTCATTTCAATGGATTATATTGTTTAATAGAAATTATTCCATTCAAATTAAATACGGCCGCCGGCAATGGGAAATTAAAAAATGCCGGTGACGGGACTGCCGCCCAAGGGAGGGCATTTTAAACAAATCAGGGTATCTGTGATTTATGCGAGTGCATCCATTAGCAACGATACCATCTGCCGCGTTGTTTAGCGTTATCGTGTATCTTTTTGTGGTGTACAAATGCGGAATGGGCCGATAATCGTCTCGTATATATGTATTTTATTCCCCCGTCCGGCGCGGGTTACGATATGATCGATGGGGGAAAAAATCAAGGATCCCCGGCACAAGGACACTTGGTGCCGGGTGAGCGCGGCTGGCCCAATCAGAGGAACACAGACGCAATTGCCAACATCTGGACGTGCGCGCATATACTGTAACGATGGCACGCAAACCGGTTTTCTCCTTCAAACAAAAAACCCTTCTCTTGCCACTACAGGCTAGAATGCAGTGCGCGCTTGTCGCCGCTACTTTGCATAATTGATTTGCTTAGGCCAGTGAACAGGTTTACTTAGCTGATTAATGGACAAAGTGTCCTTTTACACGTTCCGCGGCCACCACAATCCTGGCGTCAGACAACCATGTGTACGTGTGTGTGTTTGTTTTAACAGTACTTCTACGCATCGGGGAGATAATGGAGAAAAAAATGCTGGCCTGCTTTTTTGCATAGATAAATATTGGGTTTTAAACGGAAGATGGGTATTGTTTTGCCCCGACCGGCTGCAGGCTATAATGCGCTTTAATTAGCTTGTGAAGGAGATGCGCTGAAAATAGCTGCTGCATTACTGGTGAAAATGCCAAACAATATAAATAAAATGCTATAAATATAGAGCATTCAAATAAAGCCACAAACAATGAGAAAATAAAGCATTTCGGAGGAGATAATGGGAAAAAATGAATGGTAAAACTTTGTATAAAATGTTTAATAAATGTATAAAAAATAAAAAAAAACGTATAAAAAAATATGTATAAAAATGTATAATAAAATATGTATAAAAATGTGTAGGTTTTAAACGCATAAGATGTGGATGCGCATTGTGTTCATGCTGTTGCACATGCGGCTGTAAGGTCTGAACTGAATGCGCATGTGGCTAGACGGTCTCATTTTGTGGTAGTGTGCTTCTGGCGGAAATGATGGAATCATTCTGTCTTTACGATCTGTGCAGAATACAGCTTGCGGTATTAAACGACTAAACATCGTTGTTACGGGATATCGTAAAGGTCATAGACGTAGCCGTGTAAAGATACGGGTAACAAAATGTTGCCGCCTACATTAATATAAAAAATGGTGCACTGAATAAATCACCGAATTAATTAACATTTGGCAAACAGTAAACAAAATTTAATGACAGTGTAAAAATACCATACAAAATAATTTTATTATAAAATAAGTTTTTATATGTAAATGCTAATATTATGCAACAGAAAAACTTTTAAAAATAAAACCAATGAGAGCGACAAAATGGCTTTTTGGATCACAGTGGGAAAAATTGCGTCAGGCTATCTTTGGCCGCCCAAAACCAATTTCCCGGTAATTACGCTAATATTTTTTATCTATATTTTCCATTAGTCCGCACCAATTTCGGCCATTATAAATGGCGCATTAAATGGCAAAATTCCCCAACGAGCCGCACCACACGTGCATGATTGGCACGCAGCACTTCGTTTTTACGCGGCACGCTAATTGACACGGGGGATGGCAGGCGTCAAAGCGCGCCCGGCATGTACAATATTGATGCCGGGCGCGTTAAGTGGGGGAATCCGTGACACTTCGGCATTGAAGAAAATAACCATGTCGCCTAGACGAGTGTTTTTTCCCGATCATTTCCCTAAAGAATGTCTGGCAGGAAAAACATTCAGAGAAAACACAGAATCATGACCCACCCGTATTAATGCAGTTCGAGTGCTTTGTATGAAAATAACCAGCACGGGAACTGGATGCCGGTAATGGGGACATTACGTGAATAATGCAATTGTGTCTAAAAATATAAATTCTTCATATCAGACATAAAATGCATGACGCTTTTATATTATATATAATATATAAATATTTTTTTGAATAATAAATATTAAACTGCAAATTCTTCATTTAAAATAATTTTTAGTGTTAAACATAAAATACATAAATTCTTCATAAATTTTACGAAATATAATTATCTGTTCTAAAATATAAAACGGAAAAATAATAATTCTTCGTTTTGTATATGGGAGTAAATTATAAAAAAATATTATTTTAACGCTTTTATGTTCGAACTAACAGCTGGTCATTTATACGTACAGCAATGGCCTACTACTCTGTATTTGGAATTTTCATACTGCATTCTTGGTTGATTTTATTAAAAAAATTTTTGTACCGCGCAACGACTGGCCGACTAAAGAATTTATTAGCCCTTAAACGCACATACGGTTTTTTAAATAAACCGGCATTTTGCGCTAGCTGCTGAAACCAATTTTAACGATGATTATCGCTGCACTATTTAATGGCGCCGTAATGAACTGCACATGCGATCCGGTTGTGCGGGCTCGGATTGGTTTTTGATGGGAGAGGGGCCGAAATAATGGTCTGCTGTCCGTATCCATTCCCCAGTGCTGATTGCTATCGCGGGTGCGGGCTGCGGGATAAATGGCCATTTTTGCTAATGACTTAAATTGCCGATTGAAAGCGATCCAGCGCGCAGCAAATGTCGCGCAATGAATTAGACAAACGTTGGCTGGGGGAATATGTAGGCAAGCTATATGTGCGTGTGCGCTAGATTTCCGGCTGTTTTACGTGTGTGCGTTTAACGCACACCAAAAGGTTTCCCGCTGCACTGTAGTTTTTGCGATTTCCGCTAAATGTCTTTTTTAGCGATGGATCCGGGTGCGTGGTGGGTTTATTTGTTATATAAACAGAATCGAGGGAAAAAACGTTTTTTTTCCTTTTAACAACTTTATTTTACTTGCCGGTATAATGGCTAATCATTGTACAGATACTTCGTAAGCTACCCGTAGTTATCCCAAATAAATTAATTATTTAATGTCCATTGCGTGTGTAATTTCATTAAACATGCATTTTACACGCGAAATTTAGCGGCAGCGCTTAGGAAAAAATTCCAGACTGCTGTCTCATCGATAATGCAAATGGTGTCCCGTCTAGGATTTTTCGAGTATATAAACACTGGGTTTAATGTTTACATACCAGGCTACGAACAACCGGGAGGAATCGTGACCTCGCGTAAATTAGTACAATGTTAATGCATGACCACATTTCGCGTGTTCGAGTAATATTAAAATACTACTGTTTTGATAGCTTGAATTCAGTGATATAATTTCCACGAATAATGGAATAATGCAGAGATTGCTGCTGTTTATTGTATTTCTTATTTATCATTATAAAAATAAATATTTCTTGAAAGCATTTGGTATAAGCGTTCCACGAAATATAAGTGCGAAAACTGCCAACGCCATTTAAAAATATCGAAAGAGGTTATATAAGCGAAAACGCGGCTTAAATTTTTTTTTCTGGGAAAATAGATGCAGAATATTTACAACAGGTTCGTATTGTTAATAAGCTTTGCATGTGTGCATAGCCACTTAATTGAAAAATCCAACAGGAAATATCAGCGACGTTTAATCTGTAATAATTATGACCATGCATAGAAGTATGCAAACATGTACGCAGTCGGCCTTAGATGCGAGTATATGCCCAGAATCGTAGCGTAACGGCACCAGACCTTCCACAATTCATCTTTGCAAGCTGCACTAAAAGAAAGAAACATGTGCCTGTAAATTTAATAGAGTTCCAAAGATTAGACCAACTTTTTCCATGTGTAATGTTAGTCGGCCACAGCAGAATAAAGGAATTTGATTGCTTTAATTAAGACCAGCAATTTACGAAATATACGTTAGTATAATGCACAGGAACATTAAACATATTACACAATTTTTGAACTGTTATCATTTATCGTATATTACCGTAGATTAAGTACTTAGTATATCGTTTTTGTGTAACAACGTAGGTGCACGTTTTGCAGTCTTAAAACTTTGTAAAACTGCAAATCGTGCAACAATAATGACTGTTAAACCGAGCTTAGTGAATACATGTGATACATATACCACGTTCACAGAATTAACAGGAGCTATTTTTACAACACTTGTTAATTCCTACAATAATTTTTAATTCTCCTTATAAATTTTTACAGTCCAATGAAGTGTCTCTCAAATAATAAAAATATGTTACAAATACAATACAGTCCGATGAAATGTCGATTAAATAATACAAATCTGTATATCTAATGTATTTTTAAAAATCGGTGAAAAATACCGTAATATCAGGTCAATATTTTTGATACGGGAGCTCTCTAACGAGCGGGCAAATTTGGCGATAGATTTTTAATGCAGATAATTACCGAACATCATTATTTCTTGCAGAGAACCGCTCGCGAGAGCACATGCAGCTGGTAGCCAAGAACCACAGCGGCGAGTGCCATTCGGACGGCAGCATGGCCGCGACGGCCAGCAAATCCTCGCAGAGCTCGTACGCCTTTCTCTTGTTGACCCTGCTGACCTTCAGTCTCTTCCTCCTGTGGACGCCCAACATCGCCTACTTTCTCCTGCTATCCGTCGCCGATATCCCCTACGACCCGGTGGTGGCCAACGTGGTTATCCTCCTCTTCAACGTCCAGATCATCCTGGATCCGGTGCTGTTCTTTCTGGCCATGGGCCACCTGCGGACCGCAGCGAGCGATATGCTACGAAAGGTTTTTTAAGCTGACAGCGCGATCACACTGTGGAATACTACAAGACGGGCATTTCGAGGGCAGTAACAGGTGCATAATTAGCGAATGGGTCAGCTTTTCGGTTTTATGTTACCGGTGAGCGATGAAAATAACATTACCTTACGGTCATGTTCTTCGAAGTGAATTTTTTGCCCACATTATGTGAATTATTTATAACGCAGAAGGAAAAGCTTTGCGTAAGGACTTAACTGTATGCGCGTGTCAAAAAGTTACCAATATAACTGAGAAATAAATGCTTATTCAAAGCGCGATGCACTGCAGTTCGATTTATCGTGAATATTACTGCTTGCTAGGGAAATATGTATTAGAACGTATAGTCAAAGTTTCAAACCCCCCGTAAATTTAATAGGCCCAGGAAACTGTTCTTGACTGAAGCGACGGTTTAACTTTCTGAAACAGCCATCCACATTTGACCAGTCGGCAAAAACGTAAAAACAGAGTCGAAACGTAGAAACCGTAAATGAATTGGAACAATGCCCACTGTAACCTTTCCTAATCTTTCCGCTGCTTAGTCGTAATGTGGTCAGTACTCACTTTGCCAGCGGATTGATTAAATTTTATGAGGCTCCTCGTAAAGTGTCCTGCGCTCGAGAGCACAACACCATTAGCTGTGCTATATGTTGTGGTTCGTACACGCTTCTCTACCATTGGTTTCCGACTGATGACTGATAATGAAAATTTCTGCTTATTGAAATAATGCTCAATTATTGCTTTCACTAAGTACTCGTATTTGCAATTTTGCATTCATCATGGGTAGTCGGAGACAATATTAATGTACTGGATATTGGTCACAATTATTATATTTATTGTTAACCGCATCGTGGCAAAAGTAATGAACACTGTTTAACCGGTCACGCGAAACGACGCAATTTGACGTCAAAGTCTAAGAGGGACCGCAATCGTTCACCCACACACCTGTCCTAACAATAAATACAGTGCTCGTTTGCGACGATAAAATAAAGTCAGTAATTTACGTAACAGATACTTATCATGCTAAATAATACTGCAATAATTACGATCCTTTTCTGGGACTTGGATATAAGACTTAAGATATAGGTTAATACTGTCTTCTTGTCCTCGATCCAGAAACACCAACAGACATTTCTGCTAGCTACTAGCTACTAGCTAGCTAGCTACTACGTACTAGCAAGGGGTATACTACAGTACGTTAGTACAGTCAGCGTAAGTACTCCAGTAAGTAACCACAGTGTTCCGTAACCACAGTACCGCATCACTAAATGTGTGAGAACGCGACACGACTGCTATGCGCATCAGTAAGTACTGGTGGTGGTACAGTTAAGTATTTACAGTACTTACCTTTCTAAACACAAACTTGAAGACTTTTTGCAAGTTGTTCAGTAAGCGTAGTTGCCTGGTGTGAGTGGTGTGGTGTCGGTGTTCTATAACAAGTATAATACAAGGAAGTTTATTGGTACTCACTTTCTTACACAATAAAATTAATATAATATGAATACTGACGAATGAAACCGTCCGAATGAAACCGTCCGTACTGACGAATGAAACCGTCCGTACATCAGGCTCGACGGTTTCATTCGTCAAAGTGGCTAATGCTGTCGCATTGTACAGGCGTAACCCCAAAACGCACATAGCGCAAGCCGGTCTTGGCGTGAAGATCCCTTCTTCCGATCGGGACACACAATATTACGAATATTTTTCCAAGATGATGACTGGCAAACCACCACCCGCTACCCGGACCGGCTCTTTGCCCTCCTGGAGCTGGAGGAGCCCATCAATATGTACACACCGGGCAGTGTGTACTGTACGGGAGCAACCCGCGGTCGTACCTTTGGACTGAAAAAGAAGATCCTTACACGTAGGCTCCGTGGAGTGTGGCGCAACCACCGTGGGACATCCGCTCGTGCACCGATAAACACGCGGAAATCCCGAATCCTTTGCACGCACGCTATCTGCCTGGACCGTCACTTTCCGGGTTTTGTGCCGGTGGATCCGCACGGGCTACCTGGTGCATGGTTCGGACAGCATCGAATGTGATGCGACGTTTCTTGATTTCCTTTTTATTATCATTGTAACTTCTCTGTATGCAACGGCTTGTTTGTTTTGATTTTTAGAACAACATTGGAGCGCCGTTGTAAGTATGACATATCGTGATGGCACGCTTTACGCTTTTACCTTTCTTGTAGTTGGAAAATAAACATAAATCATGATATAATTATGGGGAATAAGTAAGGAATACTCGTACCATTTTTGCTTAAGCTCTTCAGTAACATAAAATTTGTAATGCAGGCTTAAATAATTAATACGAACGATGTTTGAAAATGTAGGATGTGCCGCGATAACGCTACAGCTACACCCAGATGGTTGTTCTGCAAGTCGATTCGGGATGCTATCGTAAGTTCATATTGCTGCCCACTGAATTAGTTGCGAACTCACTCGTTCATAAATTCCGATAGTGCTGGATCTAATTGTAAGTATTTAATTTGGTCCGTGCAGAAAATCAAAAGAAAGCCAGTTTTCATCGCATGCTTGAACCTCATTACAATATCATTTCTCGCTGGATCGTAATAATTATTTTCAAACGAAAAGTTAAATATGATTATTTGCACCGCACATAACTTCCCAACTCGGCATTAACTAGCCTTCAGACAATAAAGCATACAGTAACGTGCGATTCAAAACCGAGAGGGATCCGTTTCAGTTTCATAGTTCATCCCAGGTTTGATTTCAGACAAAGCCAGAATTACACCTTTGCGAATCCAGGGATATAGGGATAAACGATCCACAAGGACCGTTCCCCGTTCAGCCATGTGCATCAGAAAGTGTAGCGTGATGCGCGACAGCTTTTCCACTTGCACATCGTGTACGCCATCCGCGCATCACTTCTTCCCGCGATACTGGGAGGTCGGGCGCGGATCAGCGCTTTGCACAGCCCACAACACCTGCAGAAAAGGTGTAAATGAAAGTTAATCACAAAAAATCAGCATGAACGACGCGATGTCGCTTTTAAAGGGCAGCAACTGTTTAAATGCTATCAAGTTCTACCTTACCTTGGGAAACAGCTTGATATAACAGCAGCACTGCTTATTGGCTGCCAGCGAAGCCAGCAAATCGGACAACCCATGCAGTTGCGCTTCGCTCGGTGCCGGCGGTGTCGCCTCCAACGCATTCCACAATGCCCACCCGAATTCGTCAGGCATCGCCAGCCGAGCGAAAGGAATGGGGAATAGCACCTCGCACGCAATATGCCAAGACACCCCATCGATAGCGGAATACTGCAGCTTTACTTGGCAGTTGACGAAGTAGATGGCATCACAGGGGCAAGTACGCCACGAGGCAGCGAAATCTTTAAATCGCAATTGGGCAGTGCCAGCTGCAGAACTAAACAGCATATCACAACAGTCATCGGAATGGACCGCACACACCGGTAAGGGCGCACAATCGCCAGGCGTACGAACTCCGAGTTTCCACGATGCACCCACTAGGTAGATGGCGGATAGTTGGATTTGCTTCTGTTTCCCCACAAAGTCGATCAACTTCAGGATTTTCTCATAATCTTCCGCGTGCAACCGGCCCTTTCGTTCGGCAATCAGAACGCGGTTTGTGGTTGAACGGAGACAGTTGAAAACTGGTCACGTCATGAGGTACAGCAGTCGACCAGAAGCATACTTCTCCAGTTGTTCGCGGCCAAAACTTTTGATAATAATATTCGCAGTTAACTGCGACGACTGACAGATGGCGTTCCACGCAACACACACGAGACGCACTTCCTGCTGCTTTGCAGTGTCCAACTGGGAAAACACTTCCAGCAGCAATTCCGGGGGAAACCAATTCAGGCCGTCGTTCGTCCAGAGATCGGCCGGCGATTGTACTGGACAATCTGGCGCAAGCTGGATACGAAGTTGTTCAGTAAATGTCGATCGAATGCATCATATATCTGTACCCTCTGCGAATACATACGATAATTTATTCACTCACGAACCAATGGAAATATACCGTATTCTTGCATCGAAGAGCGACGTATCGTTCTTGTGATATTGACGACCGATGTACCAGAAACGTCCATCAACTATATTCCCGGGTACAAGACTGCTTCGCAATCCATTCAACGTCAACGCTGTCCATGCATATAAGCGGTCCTCCAGCTGGCAGCAAGGAGTAACTGATCGGCAGCACTGCGCTTCACGAATTCCCAATTTTCTACGGATTGCATGAAGCTTCCGTCTAACTGATCCTTTTCGGCCTGCCGTGCAGTCATACTCGACAATCGCCAGCGAATGCGATTGACCGGGACAATGTCCATACAGCGCTGTCCGCTATTCGACCACTGCATTACCGCCGCTTGTTCGCGCCAGGGTTCCATCATACCCGTTGCCTGACCGAGTACTGCTGCCGGAAGCCACACCAACGGACCGGACGGCGTTTCCCGGATCAGCACTTCGACGGATGTGGTCCAATTGCGGACATGAGGAGCGGGCGCTTGGTGGAGTCCTCTGGACAGGCCATCAGTGCGGAAAAGTCGGTTGAAGGGTGTTAGTTCGTGTCGTCGATTAGGACAAAGGAAGTCAATGAAGAGCCCGGTATCATTCACGTCCACGACACAGCCGTGGCGGAACAGGCCGTCTTCACCCAGTATTTCTACACTGTTCCACTGGTGTACGGCGTTTGGCATGGCTGCGACGGAATCCAACAGTTGAAGGATTGTTCGATAGAATATTTCAATACAGTTTGTATGCTTTGCCGATAGCCTAGCGGTGACTCTCTCGGCCTTAGAGTATGGAGGTTGTGGGTTCGATTCCCTCAATCGGCAGATTTTTTGCGAGTGTCTGTGCGAGCCGAGCCTAGCCCAGCCCTTTCAAATTCGTGTCCGTTGTGACTACTCCGCCTCGGACATCGTATCCCTCCTTTCTCTTTAACTGGATAAGTGTACAAAGGGAAGTTATAGCATCATTATCCCGTATTTGGCGTGGTAAGATCCAGCGCGGCTTCGTAGAAATTAACGCAGTTTTGCGTAAGGAATTTCATAAACTGCCGTGCTCATTTTGTTTACGTGCTCACCGCCAGTTTGTTATTGCCGAGTAAATTTTATCCAGCTGCCGCAACCACCATCACCACCTTACACTGCTCAGAGGAATCAACATTCGTAACGCTTCGTACAGTACTTATACGTGATCTGATATATTTTAACTATCATATTATATTCGTAAACTTTTTCTGTGCGATGGATAAAAAACAGCTAGTTTTCATACATCTCTTGAACGCTTTGATATCAATTATCACTGGGTCGTTTTAAATACGACCCATAAATTTGCTGTATCAAGCTCAATTTTTAAACGAAATTTCTCAATCGCCATTCGCCATTGATCTTGAAAATAGCTTCGAAATGCACTTTACTGACCACACAGAATGTCATAATCCAAATTTTAATAATGAAAAATATTCCTGTTGCGAATTATCAGGAGCACTGTTTCCATGGAAGAAGAAGAAAAACGCAAAATGGATCAGAAGGCATGCAACATGTTCAAATAGTCTTTACGAATGGTTAGAACAACAGGAAATTACAGGAGGCCGCGTTGAATACGCGTGAAAACTAGCAGACTTGCCACGAATTAACCTGATCCGTACAGAAAACAGCTGCATCCAACCCGCTCCCATAAAACCGCATCAACGCGCTGGTGAGCCAAAATACTTCACACATTGCGCGTTATGAATGGAACGTTTTGTGACGTATTTACTGAGCGCTAATACTTTCAGTTTATTAGCAGCTCAGGAGCTGCGCCTTAGCAGACTAAAACATCAACAACGCAACTGCGTATGTACATTAACTACGCCAGTTGCCAGGTACAACATTCGTACAGCACAACATCTTTACACTGGCATTCACGAGAATCCTTTACTATACACTACACGTTTGAAGGGGGGAAGAACGCGAACGGTGCGGCACTGTCGGACAGCCATCTTTATCAGGAAGTGCATCGTTATGCGGGGCAGTTTCTCCAGCCGCAAACCTTTGAGTCCGTCGATACACCACTTGTGGTCGCGATAATGCGATGTTGGACGCGGATCAGCGGACTGCACAGCACATAACATCTGTAACAAGAAATATCGCTTGAATGAGGAGCGAGTGAAAAGCTTCCGAGATTATACCTTTCGGACCAGCGCGAAATTAGTGGTGAAGTCTTCATTGGCTGCCACCAAGTTTAAGAAATCGTGCAACATGCACATCCGCTGATCACTCAGTGCCGGCAGCATCCCCTCCAGACGATTCAGAACGCGAGGCCGAAATCGTCTGGCAGCGTCAGCCGAATCACGGGAACATTAACGTGCAGCCCGGTGGTGAGATCACGTGTAGCGGAACCACCGTACTGCAAGAACACTCCGCAGTTGATGAATTTGATGACATCACACGGGCACTGTCGCCAGGCTGTGACAAAATAGCTGAACCGCCAGTAATCCGTCATCTGATAAATGCGCTGGCCTTCCGGTTGGTGCCGTACACACTCGGTGGTGGTAACATTCTCACTAATCGTGTCTATCAGAAGTTCGACCCACGTGTCCACAAAATAGATCGCTGTTACTTGGATTACTTCTCTCTTGTACTTCCCCGTAATGCTGATCATCTCAAACAACTGCCGGTAGTGGAACGGAGTCAGATTCAACTCGCGTGCCTCCACAATGATGTAACGTGTTATGGAGCGGAGGCGTTTGAAGACGGCGGCAATCAGTACGTAGATTTTCAGTGCGTACTCGTATCCCTTCAATTTCAACTGGCTGGTTTGGATGAGAATGTTGGCGGTGAACAGCGGCGATTGGAGGATAGCGCTCCACGCTCCAATTATTTTCATGGCATCTATTGCCGTTCTCTGGCAAGCAGCTGCAGCGAGAAACTGCGTCCGTTTTTAGTTTACGGGCTAGAGACGAAATGCCGTTCCGACACATTTTCCCCTTCGAAAGCCTCAAGAGGTGGAAATTATCAGTTCTCGGGGTATACTGAGTTCACATGCAATAAGACACTCCAGAAATTGGCAAAGGTTTTCTTGACATGGAGCATATTTTATTTAACTTTATAGTAGATGCAGTAAAGTTGGCTGCAGTCACAAAATCGTCTGTGGACCTGTGGTCATGACGCAGACGGCGTTTGTACTATACAATACATCCTGTACACTGTACAGGATCTGCTGGCACTGTATCGGTAAGAGCAGGCAGTACGTGCCAAAACGTTGTCAGCAGTCTTTCTTCGGCAATTGTGCCGTACGTACGTCCTAACAGATTCATTCAGTTACTAATAAGAGATTCATTCAGTTCAGTAATAACTTAGCAAGCAAATTTCTTGGATGCGTCCTATCCGAATGCGTACGCTTTCTTCGCATACTGTATTCGACGGGATTCAGCTCGTTGTTGGCCCCAATCCAGCTCTCGCCATCTGCTTGCCTGCTTCAGATGTTATATCCCCCCTTCCTGGAACTGGATAAGAGTACGAAGGACAAAACATTTTCCTGTCTTTGACGTGGGAGGTCCAACTGGGGTACGAAGAGAAAGTAATGCAGGTGTGTGTAAGGAATCTCGTAGACTGTCGTGCTTATTCTGTTTAAGTGGTCACCGCCAGTTTCTTATCGAGTAAATGTTTTCCAGCGGCCTTCGGAAATGGAGAAAGACATCTCTGTGGCCATGAAGTCCACGGAACGGCTGCACGAGCAGGCATTCGCACGGCAGGTGGAACGCCAAAAGCCAGAACTGGACCAAAACGACCTTTTAACGTCACCAGCACCGGAAACAGCGGCCCCTGGCCATGGCGGACTCCAACTTCAATCAGCGGAGAAAGCGCTGGAGAGTGACGTAAGCGGTTCAGTAGGTTTCCTCGTGCAAGTTCTGCTTACTCCTCACTATGCGGCATAAACGGGCCACTTAACTGTTACAGGGTGAATCGGTGTGCCAGCTGGTGAAAACCGAGAATGGCAGCGCCACTGCCACACATCGGGAGGAAAGGGGATGTGAAGCTCTGTTGCCAGCACCAGCTCGCGACGACGATGGCGCGCTCCGGTTTCTTCCCGTGGAGAATTTGACGGAGACCTTCCAGTATGTGCCCACCGTTGCCCAGTGCCACCTGCGGGCGGTTTGCGCCGGCTGGAACGGCATCCTGACATCAACCTCAGCAAAGCGCTTGCTGTACATCCAGTCCCCAGCAGAAATGCGTTTTGAGAAGTGCAGTTCGTTTGATTGTGCGGGTACTGCTGATGTCAGTGCACGTTCATGTTGGAGTAATCGCGCCGTGGGCGTTGTGGGTGGGCTAAACTATGGTGCCAAAATGCGATTGGAACTATTTGCTGGTGATGTGCGCTTGCACTTGGCCACCCAAGGAAGAACCGAGAAAGAACTTCTGGGGAATCTTGTACTGAAGGATGTTGACTGCTGCTTTTTTCCTTTTCGCTTCGCTGATTTCATTTCCCTTCTTCGCGACGTGTTCAACTCTCTGGCAGCGATGTGTCATTCGCTGACCGTGAAAAACTTCACATGCGAGATTGTCGACAATGAAAGGGATGGCTGTGTGCCGATCACCATCCGCATCCCCTTCGGACAAATGAGCCACGGTCGGCGTCTAACTCTTGCTGACTGGTACAACATGATTGAACAAGCCTGTCCGCTGCTGGACGACCAGCAAAAGACTCTGGTGTCAACTACGCTCAAGGAATGTGAACAGGATTTCTTACTTTCCTTTGATCTGAAACAGGTAAAAACAGCTTAATACTTAATATACATATTCCAGTACTTAGGAAGAACGCTTGCGGTACTTTTATGAGGGTCGCAAAACTTTACTACACCATCTATGCTGGTGCGCTACTCCATCGTGCATTGCTTTACAGATTCGAAAACGACAGGCTAAAGATCCCCGGAAAAGCCGCAGAGCTTTAAAGTTGCTTCCATTTGATGGTTCACTGGCCTCCATCGATGTGAACCGATTGACGCAAATGGTGCAATACCTGATGTACTGTCGAATAATGAACAGTAAAGTGAAGCTGGACGTGGATTTATAAACCTCCCTTTAGGCGGTTATCCCATTTACTTGGACATCAGAGCTGACGGCTGACTTTTGTGGAATAACGGGAATTTGCTTATGCGCAACGAAAGAAGGACTTTGAATGGGAATGTATGTGTGTTTAACGGTTCGAGCCCTTTTACCGTTTTTATGCCGTTAACTTGATGAATTCGATGATATTTAGTTATTCAGCCATGCTTGAGCGTAAGTAGAATAGATAATTTAGTTTCGGTTAAATTACCATAGCTTGAAGGTTAATACAAGCCACTTTTTGGGAATCGAAGTTGTACGCGATTCCGAACGCAAACGGCATCATGTTCTGGCGATTGAACGGAAAATAGTACCCTGTTTTATTCTCATGTTTGCCGTTATGGTCATACAATAATCAGCTCGCAAAGGCAAGCTGTTGCACAACTTCTGCTCGCTGCTGGATGTATCTGTTCGCGTAAAAGTAAGACGCCGTTTTTTTTTCAAAACATGCACAGAAGTTTCACACGAACATCCGGATGCGTATATCGAGCCGACATAAGTATATCGAGGCTTACAGCTAGTACAGATGTGGTAAGCACACCGATTTTTGTGTAAATCAGCTCACCGTGGTTAAGTCCACAATTTCAATGGTGACCTTTAAAAACTGCCGCCACTATTATCAATTACAAATCTGACGTTGCATTCCGTAATGAATGTTGCCGCGAACATCATCGTGTGGTGACGATGACCGACGCAAAGAAACACCACGAGTTGTTTGAATACGGCCAATGCATTTATGTATCGGAAACGCACACCAACGTGTACTGTAGATGCGCATTTGCTGGCGGTGGCCGACGCAAAGACGCTACATCTTCCATTAGCACAGAGCAGAGCAGACCTTCGGTAAGTTTCGGGGAGTTATATTACTTATGTTTGTATTTTATGATTTGTTAGATTATTTGGTGACTCTGATTTCCTTGACTAATAACAACAGAATCGTCGGTTTACTATGGCATGATATTCCAGTCGTTCCAGCATGATATTCGTTTTAAAATTTTTGAAATTTATTTTAAAATTTGAAAAAAACCATGAAAGTCTGAATCCGTACCAAAACAATCTTCATGGTTATGTGCATTTACGTGCAAAATTCGAAAGGGATCGGCCCATAATGAGACTTTTGGTACACCTGAATGCATTTAAACTTTTTGGAATTTTGTTAACCCTCATAACTGCACAACCGGATTTCACAACTACGTATACAATTCTTTTGGCTACAAAATACCATAAACCATCGCAAAAAAGTGTTTGGGAGTGCGCGACAGCGAAAGTTCCGGTGGGTGTACACGAATTTGGTGCTATGTACCGGGCCAAATCCCTTAATAGGGTATCATGTAAGTACGGGCTAGCGTCGCTGTTCAATATCGAATGCAGTCAATGCACTGCTGGCGGAGCAGCCCCGGAAGTGAAAATGAGACTCGTACGGATTCACGAGATTCCATAATCCTATTTACATGACTCGGAGTACCACAAACCATATCCAGAAACGTACGGTGCCGCCGGTTTAATTTGGAACGATATCGCACAGACAGCGATTTGGTACGATGGATGTAGCGGATTTACAGCCTGAGCCAGCCGCCACAGTACGTACAAGAACGCGGTCGAGCTTAAGAAAGACATGAGTTTTTATTGCTGCAGCACATTTTCCAAGTTGAAGAAATGCTTTGCTGTTTTGAGAATCAGATGATATTCTTCTACGTTTCTTGAGCTTATTACCTCATTATTTTTGCGGCATTTATGTTGGATGAGTTCCGGCAAGATTATCACGGACAGACTGAAACAAATAGGTGTCTGCCGAAGACCCTCCTTACAAGTACAGTAGTACCAATTGTTCCTGCATTCCAGTTTCCAGCTGTATTCTGCAATATTAACCAATTGAATTCCTTTCAGACATGACAGACGCGCAACACCAGTGGAACAGTGTCAGCGTATTGGGAGACGACCGCGTATTCCGGCACGGCCGTGTCGTGGACGTGGCGGAGACAGGGCTCTTCATTGACTTCCAGTGTCTCAATCGACGACGCGAACTGACACCCTTCAACCGACTTTTCCGGGATGATAAGCTTTTCTACGGAGCCCATGGTACAGCTCTGATCACTCCCGTGGAAGTTCTCGTGCCGGAGAATCCGTCGGGCCCTTGGGTGTGGATTCCGGCTGAATGGATCGATTACGCAGCTCGTGGGGATTACGATTGTTACGATTTCGCGGTGGTCCAATGGTGGAATAACGGGTATCGCTACACGGACGTTTTACCGCCCAGCCGAGTTCGTTGGAGGGTGCTGAGCACGTGGTGGGAGAGCGTTGTTCAGTCACCAGTTGGACGTCTGCCGAAAGCAGGTAAGTGCGTTGGGCGAGAATCTCACAATGTGCGTTTAAAATGCAGCCTGTCGTCAGACGCAGCGAGATAGGGAATGATCGGGTTTGGCAAGCACCTCGAACTGTCACAAGCGCTTCGAACTCGGACGTTATAAGCGAATCGCGACGGGACGAGACTTCCCCTGAAGCTGTTGAACCGTTGGAATACGTGAAGCGCAGTGTGCCGCTCCCGGAAAACCATGTCGCAGTTCCTGCTGGAGAGCTGCTAGAACGCGTTAACAGCGACAAATGGATGGCGACAAAGAATCAGAGTGCTCTGCACGAGCATTGCGAAAGGACGACTGTGGTACATTTCTTGTCAGTACAGCAGACCCAATTCAGCGAAATTCGCGGTAAAGTGCCAGGATTCTTGTTCTTTCGTGCTGCTTCTCATAAAAAACAGAATGGCCGCACAGACCGATTGTGAGAAATTCGATCGGCACTTGGCTGAGCACCTCCCTTTTATGATTGCAACAACATGTGAAGTCCGCATACCTCCCCACCTCCGGATCTATTATGATTTCTGCTCGCTGCCGACCGAGTTACTTGTGGAAGTGTTTTCCCAAATGGACACTTTACGCCAAACGGAAATGCGCGTCGTGTGTGCCACGTGGAACGCCATTTTGCAATTGCCGCAGCTGACCGCAAACATCGTCCTCAAAAGCACCGAACACAGACAGCTGGATATTTGTTATGATGTTCGATTCGTCTACTTGCTGGCAGCTGCCATCTTCCAGTGCCTCCGCTCCACCACACGCCGTATCATAATGGCAGTTCCCGGCGAAAGGATAGTCGTCACCACCTACCGCCGCTTGTTCGAGCTGATCAGTTTTGCGGGGAAGCGTAGCTCCGCAATCCACCTGACCGCCATCTATCTGGCGGGTCCACGGCTTCACTTTATGATGGGAAAGGATTGGTGTGAGAATGCCGGCCACAACTTATGCGCGCTGCATACGCTGCACAAGCCAGGGGATCGGAGTTATCACTATCGCCTCTGCCAATTTCCCGCATCCTGGCGGCAGTGTCCGTGTGATGCCATCTACTTCGTCAACTGCGGGATAAAACTGGAGTATCGCGTGTACAATCAGGGATCAGATCTGTCCGCTAAGCTGTGCTTCGACGCTCCGTTTATTCGGCTGACGATGCTGGACAATTCCGAATGCGCCGTCTGGAATTCCTTCGAGGCGTCGCTACCGGCGCCGAGCGATGAAGAGCTGCGCATGTTGTCCGCTTTCTTGACCTTGATAGTCTCCAACGAGGACTTTACCGACAATTTTGTGCTGGTCCGCAAGGTAGATTTTGAGACGCATTACGGCGCGAATTGCATCCGCCAACAGCTGCCTTTCTGAGACGATATCGTCTGGTTGCAGATGTTGTGTGCTGTGCAGTCGGCCGATCCGCGAGCGACATCACACTATCGCGGGAAGAAATGGTGCGTGGACGGTCTGAAGGAATTGCGGCTGGAGAGACTGTCCCGCATGACGCTGCAGTTCCTACTGAAGATGGCTGTTAAACAGTGCACCGATCTTCGGGATCTCCTACCGTTCCCCCCTGTCATTCATAATGCTGAGTGCGTGAAATATTTTTGCTTAAAAGCAGATTAATTCGCTTCTCTAACAGCTTGCACTGGTCTATCAGATGTACTATCAGATTAAGGGTTAGAGTTTTGGCAGGTAGTTGAGTCCAAAAGCTGTGTATTAGTTCCTGGCTCTTTCAGTAAAAAGCTAATGTACATGTAACTGCTCTCCTATGGCACAGTACGTCTGCTATTATCAGATAATATGACAATGATTTTAACCGAGTTGAATAAATTAAATTCCATTTCCGTTCTGCTTTCCCTAAAAGACTGGGCTTGGGGGTTTCTTAACGGAACCTTTTTTAAATATTTCCAATTATCTTTAAATTAAAGATTATCTTTAATTATCTTTAAATTAAGACTTCAGTTATAGAACAATCGAAATTCTCATCAGAGCCCACACGTACAGCTGAGTGTCCTTCAAAAATCAGTGCGGCCAGTTGTGAAATTGGTGGGATACAGCAGTGTGAAAAAACTTATTCTCACGACTATAAATACAGTCTTGTAAGAAGCTGCCTCCTTAAATAGGCAGTGCGATATAAGTGTTGTGATTTGAAACGCCACTCCGAGAATAAACGCGGCATTCCATTCTACTTTGGTTTCTTAGGTTTCTTAATTTGCAATGAATCGATACTCATGGCCGTCATAGGGTCCCAAGTAGATCCTACCAAGTACATGGCGGCCGGTTTAACCGCCTTCTTCCTGCCCGTCACGGCAGCGAGTCAGCGACCAGTGCAAAACGATCGTCGAAGATATTCCGCATCATCCTGCAGCGATTTCGATTGGCGAATGTGATGCTCTCTGTGGAGGAACGCAGACATTTGAAAATCGGCGATGCTAGCAAGTACTCCATCTGGATCTGCTTGCCAGCATAGTTGGACTTCTTCCGCTGTTGTTATACAAAGTCATTGATCCCAAAGCTTTTTGCGGTTAACTGCCGCAGCTGTTGACTGGAATCCCGCGCGGCACACAGGCGCGCATTTCAGTGTGCGTTGCAGTGTCCAACTGGAAAAACAATCCAGTTTGCGTTGCAGTGGCCTTAGTGCTCCTTACTGTTAGAAGGAATCTG